TCTCGGGGTCAATGGCCCTTCCTGATCCCTAATGCTCAGTGGGCCTCCATGGCCAGCTCCCAACAGACAGTCTTGTGGGAATGAGCTCTTAACCATAGGAGAGGCCTGCACTAACTCTGGGAGTTAAATTGTAAGATACCCAGCTGGTGTCCTCGGAGAACCGGAGAACTACTTGGTGTGGAAAACCCACACATTCTGTGCCAGAAGTGTTGTGAGTAGAGAAACAGTTTTCCCTTCCTTCCTTTCAGTTGGAGTCTCCCTCCATCACCCAGGCTCTAGTGTAGTGGCATGCTCACAGCCACCCCAGCGTCGAGCTGCTGGGCTCCATGATCCTTCTGCCTCAGGCTTCAAATAACCTGAACTATCATGCCCAGCTATCATGCCTGGCTAAATTTTTGAATTATTATAGAGACAAGGTCTCACCTTGTTGCTCAGGCTAGTCTTGAACCCCTGGGCTCAGGCAAACCTCTCCTCTCGCCCTCTCAAGGTGCTGGGAATACAGGCTTGAGGCACCACACCTGGCAGAAGAGTTTTCTTTTACTTGGTACCCAGGTGGACGCATGGGGCTAGGGAGGGAAGGATACTCAATCTGAAATAGAATGACGACTTATCACGAGGCTGCCACTTAGGATGGAGCCAAAGGATCACATCCTAAGAAATGGGCAGAGAGCACAACACAAGAAAGAGAGCAAAGGGTATGCAGGGGGAACCCTTGAGACTATCCATGAAGCAGTTTCCCCAGGTGAGGGCTCCAGAAAGACCCTCCTCAGAGGCCCAGGAGAGCAGGGAGAGGGAGAGTCACATGGAGCAGCAGCTGACCTTGGGGTCCTAAATGGGAGGGAGCTGCTGCATGGGGCTGAGATCCAGGAATCCTCTGGGGGGTCGAGAGGCTTGGAGTATCCCAGTGAGAAATCCTATGTAAAGGGCTCAAAGCATCTAGGTTGCCTCATTTTTAGTGCATGTCTCCTCCTACCTTCTCCAGAGCTGCCCAGGTTGGGGGTCATTTCTCTCTTGTATCCCCAGTCAGATGGAGCCTTGGAGCAAAAGGCAGGTTCTCCTCTCTTGCCCTCCCTCCCACCCTGCCTCAATTGGGAGCTGATTTCAGCCACCCTTAGGGCCCGGATACCATAAGAAAGACAGACAGACACGACAGTGAGTGCCCATTTGGTGGGAGGAAGGGAGTGGTGGTGTAGCCCAGGGTTCCCATTTCCACTCCTGCTTTTCCAGATCCAGCGCCACAGCGGTTCACGATTCGTCACTTCACCGTTTTCCCTCTCTGGACTCCCCGGAAGCCAACTCCGTCCATATGCCCACCTCCCCACCCACAAGCAGAAACACAATCACAGGGCGCTGGGCTGGGAGCCTGGGGATGAGGGAGGGAGATTCAGAAGGCAGAAGGGAGCAGGCATGTCCGAGGCATTTCCTGCACCTGCCTCTCATCTCAGCCACCACTTCTCAGGGACGCCTCGCACCTAAGTTCTCCAACAGTGCTGGCCTCGCACCTAAGTTCTCCAACAGCAGCGCTTCTTCTTTCCACGAGCGCCTCCCGCAAGCGGACTCCCTGCTTCTTGAGCAAAAGATAGACGCGCTGAGATGCTCGCGGACGGCCTAGGTATTGTTTCCGTCCCCAACAAATGTAATTCTGGTCGCCTGAGAAATCAGTTTCGAGGCTAACGCAGCGTGGAGTGACACCCACCACCTTCACATCCCGCCGCTCGGCCCACCTCAGTCTGTGGGTCGCCAAGCGTCAGTCCTTTCCATCCTTTCCTGGTGTGAGTACACACACCCTCCCCTCGCCGGGACGAGAGTCTGGTCACGTGACCTGCCTTCAGCCCCGTGTGGACCGCACAGTCAGCTTGCCCTTGGCTGACTGGCACCGAGGGTGCCAGAGACTTCTGCCTCTGGGGTTGAGCTGCTCGCCAGAAGCCCCTGCTGGCCCTGATGAAGGCAGAGAGCTGGGAGGAAGGCTGGGTGGATTTGGAGCTAAAGCTTCCGGCCCTAGGCCTGAGTCTGGCTGGGCAAGAGCGCTGGCTGGTGAGAAACACTCGATGAAAATTTTGGAGATGAAGTGATCGTTCGTATTTTGTAGAATACTCGGGTGGCATAGTAAAACTCACACATACAGGATCTGTCTTGACAAATGTCGATAAGCAAAACAAATATTTGATCCCAAATAACTTCCACCTGCAGGATGATCCCTGTTAATATTTGTGTTTGTGAAGAGAGGCAAAACTGTCACTTTACCCTACTCCCATAAACCATACTAGCCTAGTCTGTAATCCCAGCACCTTGGGAGGCCGAGGCGAGAGGATAGCCTGAGCCAGGGGTTTCGAGACCAACCTGGCAACTTGGTGAGATCTCGTCTCTACACTGACATCAAAAAATAGGCCGGGCGTGGTAGTGCTTGCTGTAAGTTCCAGCTACTTGGAAGCCTGAGGTGGAAGGGTCGCCTAAGCCCAGCAGATAGAGGATCGCGGATCGAGGCTGCAGTGGCCATCAGCATGCCACTGCACTCCAGCCGGGGCGACAGAGTGAGACTCCAACTCAAAAAGCAAAAATCAAACTTTAGCATACTAGGATCAAGTGGGAAAAAAGTATACTGCACTGTCAGAACAGTTATACACAACTTGGGTGAAGTCAACATAGGTTATTGGATATTTCAGTGCAGTGCTGGGCTTTACTCATGGAGTTATTTTTCAAGTCTATAGAGACTGATGTTAGCTTGTAGATACTTCTCCAATAGATAGGTAAATGTTTTCTGTCCAGTGCAAAAGATAACCTTAAGTGTTACAAATTATTGCCGTGTATGATATTAATAGTTTTGCATTTAATCCAGCAATGTTATTTAACATTTATTTCCTGTGTATATGAAATTTAAATACATATATTTTATTTTACATATTTATTTTGTGTATATTGCATATACACACACCCCTTCAACTGTTCTCTTAATCTCAGTTGTTCATTATGTTGAAAAAATATTTCGTATGTTCATTTTTAACTTGCATGAGTCATAATTTTACCTTTGAAAACTTACAGCATCTTCAGACAAAAAAGAAATAACATTTCATCAGGTCTAAAACTAATAAAACACTTGACACTTCCCACAAGTCTGGATTTCCTTTCCAAACCAACTCTATCCCTGACTTCTCCAGTTCTCCTGCCTGAAGGTACACTGTGGTCATGAAAAAAATTACTGTGGCTAAATATACACAACATTTACTATTTTAGCCATTCTAAAGTACACAATTCAGTGGTACTTCAGTCAGTACATTCTCAGTGTTGTGCAACCATCACCACTATCTCATTCCAGAACTTGTAGTCACCTCAAAAGGAAATGTCATGATCTTTTGAAAGTTTAATAGTCATGTCAGTAAGTTGCCATTTCTGTACCATGAACAGACTAGTAAAGCTTAGCATCCTTGGTAGTTTTTTCTTGAAAACATTTCCTATAAAAAGCTAGTCCTTCTGAAGTATCATTCATTTACAACTTTTCTAAATTATTTTATCTCTAAAATGTTTAACACTTATAACTGTATCATTTCCATCATAACTGAAGGCACTAACGTAAGCTATTAATTTTGTATGCTTTATTGAGTTTGTATCTCTCCAATGTCTGTCTGAGAATTTTGTAGCATGGTATATTTTATTCCAGACGGTGGAATATATGAAGTTGCTTAGAAAGTCATCTTGAAATTGCATAGAAATTGTGTATATTTACACACATTTTGAAAATGATACCTAAATTTTCATCGAAGATGCCACTTTTCTCTGTTCCACCAAATGCAAAATCATTAATGTCATTTCATGTAAATAAACCAATCCATGCATAATCATTTCAATGGCTGTATGGTATTTCCTTAACACTTTCCTTGGTCTAGGGACACGAAGGAAATTGTATTCCTGACTCCCTTTAATTGGTGCACTGTCCTACTCTTTCAGCCCTTAGGTGGCATTGAAGCAACACCTGTACTTTGAATTTTAAGATGTGCAGATATGGCTTGCTCAGTTCCCCAGACTGGCCTCATCTTAAGTTTCCAACTGCATTTCTCACTAAGCTCTTTCACCTATTTCAGGCAATTGGGTACATTCATGCTACCAGAATAGATTTTTAAATTACACACTTCCCTTAACACCACCACTGACCACTTCCAAGAATGACCGAATAACTTGTTAATCCTACCCTTCAGTGACCAATTTAAGTGGATCCTTTTTTCCGAAGCATTCCTTGAGTACACCAGTCTATAATACTATCTTCCCCTTTAAGCTCAACACATGGGATTTTCTAAAGAGTGTATGTTTGTCATACTAGTAATTACCTATTTTTTTTCTTTTTTTTGAGTTGGAGTCTCACTCTGTCACCCAGGCTGGAGTGCAGCAGCATGCTCATGCTACCATAGAACTGCTGGGCTCCTTCTGCCCCTCTTCCAAGTAGCTGGAACTACACACATGCGCCATCACGCCTGGCTAATTTTCCTTGATTTATTGTAGAGAGGAGGTCTCGCCAGGTTGCCCAGGCTGGTCTTGAACCCGTGAGCTCAGGCAATCCTCTCACCTTGGCCTCCCAAAGAGCTGGGATTATAGGCGTGAGCCACTGCGCCCAGCCTACCTTTGCTTTTACGTATGCACAACATATCTGTACCTGATTTTAAAACTGAATAGGTCATTTATGCCAATTTTAAGATAGAACTTTATTGAAAACACAGACTCTATTAGAGAATCATATATTTAAACAACGAATAGCAGGATAGCTTACTCAGGTGACTCAGTTCATCAGAAGCAGAATACTGAAAAATATCACAATCTGGACAGCAAGACAAATATCAACAAATATGTTTCCAGGTCTAATATTCATTTGGCATCCACAAAGTGATCCAGCTCAAAACAAGAGTTTGACAAAGTTAACATCAGCATTAAAAATATAAGTTACAACATAAAACCACATCGTGAACACCAAAGCACTACTCAGGGCTCTTTGGGAACATAAGGCTGGTCAGCGGCAGGTGGTTAATGATACTAACTTTGTTGTCCCACCTCTGGATCATTTTGATTGTCTATTTGCACTTGTAGTTGCTTAGCTAACTTCTTAAACTCACGAGATGCGGAAATAAGTGGCTTAAAACAGAAATCATTTTCAATTAAGTCTTCCATTTCAGTTTCTACAACCCTACTGATATTCCGAAACATCTTAATAACAATTTGCATATTATCATTTGTCTCTTCTATGTTAAAGAGACCCACAAATACTGAGAGAGCTTTGGCACTGAATAGTTGTTTTGCCACGGCAGAATTTTTTGACAGATTCAATAGCATTTTCAGAACGTGAAACTTTGTTCCCGCATTGGCCATGGTTAATAAGGAGAGAAACCCAGACATGTAATTGACAACCAATGTGTGATAGCAAGTAGTCAAAGTGAGTTGTCGAAGCATCCTTATTCCAGCCAGCTGCTCAAGGGAATCTATACCATGAGCAAGGGTTTCCTCACACACTTGACATACGAATGTCTCCATTATGTTTAGATTTGGATAAGGTGGAGACATGTGAATCATATTTTCCAAAAAACTTGTCCTAACTCGGGAGGACGGAAAATTGAGCAAAGTTTCCATAAGCGAGACAACACCCGATTCTCTAATGAAATCTCGGGTAAATTGAGAAGCTTTTCTCATACCCATTGCAATTTTAGATATTTCATGAATAAAAGGATCACGAGTTTTATCGGCTAATGCAAGGACTTCTTCAAACTCTCCAGAGCCAATTTTAAGCTCACATTGTATGCAGTTGCAGGACCAACTCTCAAGCTCTGAGCTCTCCCTGGCCCTAAGATGCTCTCGAACTTCCGGAATTGCCCGGAAGGATGGATCATACTCAAATTCTAGGTACTCAGGGAAAGGCTGCACAGGCAAAGACAAAGATTCCTCCTCTTCCATTTCTGGGTTGGGCTTTGGCTCAAGCATTTCAGAATCCCTGTTAGGAATTCTAAATGGGTGTGTGGCTAGCAAGTGAAGGTCATACATACGAGGTTTCAATTCATCAATGATCTCATCCCAGGTTTGGAAACTAGAAGATACATCAATCTCCTCAGCTACATTTCTGAACCTGCTACTGACCCTGTACACAGGATTGGGATTTAGGTCAAAGCAGGCTTCATCTCTGTCCCAGAACCAGGACCCAAATATGGCCTCTTCTTCAGGCTCTGGCCTGGTTTCTTCTCTGGCCACAGCCCCCAGACTGGACTTTTCCTCAGCCCAGTACAAGGATCCACCAGTGGCCCCCTCCTCAGCCTCTGGCTCAGATTCACAGATTGCTGAAGCTCCAGCCTCCAAACTGGCCTCTTTTTCTGCCCAGAACCAGGACCCAATAATGACTTCCTCCTCAAACCTGGACTCTTGTTTGACCCTGTCATTGGTATTAACATCTTTCTGGGCCCCGGATTTCAAGACGGCATTAGGTTCTTCCTTGTCTCTGTGCCTGAATCTACTACTGGCCTCTTCTCCAGGCCAAAACCAGGGGTCTTTACAGAACTCGTCTTCAGACTCAGATTCAAAAAAGTCCTCTCTCTTTGCCCTGGGCTTGAACCTGGCCTTCGCCTCTTCCTTGTCTCTGGACCTGAACCAGTTACTGGTATCTTCTCCAGCCCAGAAATCAAATGGGTTGCCAGCCTCGTACTCAGACCCAGACGAATCAATATAGGGTTCTTCCTTGGATCTATCCCTGTACCTGTAACTGGTAGTGCCGTCTTCCCTGGGCCATGATTTGATTATGGTCTCTTCTTCTGTCCAGAAATAAGACACAGCAGAAATTTCATCTGTTGACCAGAATCCAGACTCCTCTCTGCCTCTGGTTTTGGGACAGCACCAAGACCCCCATATTAGTCTCCTCTCGTGGTCCGAAGCAGGGTCAGAAAAGGTTTCAGCATCCACACTGACTAATTCTGTATTCATAGACAAGCCGTTAGACTCAGTAGCTGACCCAGGCTCAGTACTGGCAAGTGGCCAGACAACAGAATCAGTCACTCCCTCTGACTGTGACATTGCCTCAGCCCCAAACTCAGTATGGGACCACACCTGGGCTTCATCCCTGGGCCTTGCTTCAGGGTTTACCCTGGCCTGAGTTTTAGGACGAGCACCACCTACTGCCCTGACATCAATTTTGTGTCTTGACCTAGTCATTGCCTGGGCCTCACTTTTGGGCCTTGCTCTAGACTTTGCCTGGGTCTCGGTTTTGGGCCTTGCCCCAGGCACAGACTTGGTCTCCGATTTGGGCCTTGTGCCAGTAGTTGCCTGGGACTGTGTCCTAACCTTGGGTCTGACCACCAGAGGGACTTCATTCTCTCTCTCAGCCCCACCCACAAGCTCTTCCCCAGCCTTCTTTTCAGGCTTGGTCTGGGAGCTAGGCTCAATCTCTGCCCCAGTCATGGTACAAGTTACAAAGAAGTCCAGTTAGGTACCCCTGCCCAAGTCTCAGCCTCAATCACCGATCTCTCACAGGTTTGTTTGTTCACACTCAGATCTTTGGTGACTCAGATGATAAAGTTGGAAACAAGAGTCAATTGCCAGTCCAGCAGTCAATCAGCCTCCTTCCCAGGCACAGTCTCAGTCAATAATACAGACAAATTGTAGAAGAGGCACAACCTGGCTGGGGGGAAGATGAATGGTTCCTGGGTGGGTGTAGACCTGTTGAGAGTAGTGGTCAGCAGCAACTCCAGCACCACCAGAGCTGCTGCAGGAGGTGGATCTACAGAAAGAGAATGAAATGGGGCTTTGAGTCTCTTCTAACTGTGTCACCCCATGCAAAGACTTACACAGAGAGACTGGAGTTGAATGCTGGGTGGGACAGCTGGGCTATGAGAAATTCTCTCTGGCCCTGCTGCCTGCTGCAAAACGCGTACAGCATCGGTGGGAAAGTGTGTTGCCAATGGGAGAAGCTGAGGAGCCCCCAGACTGAACTCTAATTATTGCTGAAACCGTGCTGGTCACCACTACCCCCTCCCCCCCAAAGCGTATCTATCTCATACCAGCCTTCACTGATGTGGTGCAATTTCCCCCTCTTTTCTTTGTTAAGTGGTATTAAGCCCCACAGCTGACAAGCAGGGCGTCCTATACATAAGTAAACATACAGAAGAGGATGGAGTCTGAGTGCTTGGTAAATAAGCATGCACCCTGAGACAAACAGCTCTCTTTCCAGTCAAGGGCCCAATCTGTCTAACGTTTCCTGTCTCCCGGTGCCTGCCCTCAGGTCTCCCCCAAGTCACAGCCCAATCCACACCTACCTCAATATTCCTAATATCTCCTGCAAAAAATAACAAAGGGTGCCGTGGCAGTGTGCAGATCCAGTGGAGTAGAAGCCCTCCTGCACCCACTTGGGTCAAAGCCACCTGCCACGCTCTTCCTCTGTAGCTGTCCCCTGCATTGCCTCCTTCTCACCAACCTCCAGAGGTGTGAGCCAGTCTCCTCCTCCTCCTCCTTTCCTTTCTGGCAGGACTGACCAGCCTTAAAGCAGGCCTACGGACAAACAGATGAAAAGGTAAACCAGGAGATGAGGGTGGCAACTGCCCGCTTGGTAGAGAGACCAACACCAAAGAGAAGAGTCCCCATATTATCTGTCTTTCAACATTCAGAGTCCTGCTGGTGGAATATTCTCGTTTTATTTAGGCCTTGTTTCGGGGTTCCAGAGAGAACTCCTTCTCTTGACGTCATACTCTTCCCATTACTCCCTTCTTCAATTCTGAGGATTCACCACTAGGTGCAACACATCCCCTAGCCCTGCGCAGCATAGAATGGGGGAAGGGCGCCGCACATTCTAGAAAACAGGTAGTGAAGTGGTACTTGTCAATATGACTCCCTCCTCACTCCCGCCTCCAAAGCCCATCTTTTCAAGCCCCTATTTGGGAGGGCGGGGGAGGAAGGTGGAGAAAGTGCCTGAACCGCTGTTAGAAAGGGGGAGATTAGGAGGTGTTCTGGATGCCTGACCTGCTGTGGTCGCGGTCACCCCACCCCGATTCGGGTGTCCAGTCAGTGCCTGGCGCCCATCCCCCATCCCCACACACCTCCAGAAATCCGGGCCATTTTCCTGCTTGTCCTTTTTCCCAAGCCTCTCTCTGCAGATGGTCACTGGACTGTCAGAATCCGCCAGACCTACCGCGCAGACAGGAGACTTTGACGTCAACCTGGAGCCTGTGGGAGGGGGCAGCAGCCGGGACGCGGGGCCCAACAGACCCCTTCCGGGATCCGGGTCCGGAGTAGTAAACGACCCCCGCCTCCCACTATTTCCCCGCGCAGACTCCCGCTCCGCCATTTCTTCCGCGGCAGCCTCCCTCCAGTCCTCTCAGGACACAGACACCGTTGAGGGCGGGGCGCGGGAGCCGGGGAAGCCGGCTGGGAAAAGGTCAGGGCGGGTCGCCTCCAGTCGGCCT